AACCTTTTTCAGTGTTGTTGTGACTGGACATTTTGAAATGCTTCTCAGCTTTTCATAACCTTTGTATGATAATGCCATAAAGGGTGACGTTAGCTTCAAATATATCATTTTAGGGAACACAAGTAGTTATACCGTGTAGATCATGTCAGTATCCTGCATTTTTTTTTTTCAAGTGAATGATGACTATATAAAATGTATTTTCCAAAATTTTAAAAAAATTAAAACTGAAAAGAACAGAGTTATTTATCTTTGGCATATCTTTTAGGGGTGAACCAGTCAACTCCAATAATTTTGCGAATTTGGGTGATTTGATCATTTGATGAAAGAATTCAATGTCTGTTAATTTCTTGTGTGAATCTTTTCTTTTTCTTATCTTTTGGGATGCACTTAATCATTTAAATCTTGTATCTACATCTATAATTTCATTTTTTCGGTTCATTACATTCTTATTTTGTTCTACATTATCTCCTTGGTTTCAGTATCTTGAGCAATATGGGGAAGTGAGCATGTTGGATATAAAGGGTGCTGATGCAGCCAAAGTGGTTCTAGTTATTGGAATATGACACTTCATTCTTTCGGAGAGGGTTCTGGGGTGGGCGTCTCCTTTGCTGGCTCAAAAGGTTTCTCTCAAGGTCTGTTGGTTACATTGGCTATTGCTGTACACAACATACCAGAGGGATTAGCTGTGAGCATGTGCTAGCATCAAGGGGCGTCTCCCCACAGAATGCTATGTTATGGAGTGTGATAACATCTTTACCTCAGGTATTGTTGTTGTTGTTGTTATTAAAAGTTGAATCATCGTGCCTCATAAGGGATAAAACTTAAGTCAGCCCTATAGAGATATTGGTATGCAACAGAATCAAACTATGACTTGTATAAAGTTGTCAGTTATCATTGCCAAGGTATAATGATGATCTGATCAGATACAATAGCAACTGATAGATGCAAATTAATGACTCTTTGGCACAACTCAACTATCAAAATTGTTTGTGGACTTAGTTGGGTTTAGCACTGAGGCAGTATTGCCTAACCTGAAAGGATTAGTTTCTCTTTTCAACGTCTTCAATGTTATCTTCTTATCTAATGAAGTCACATCCTGTGTGAGTTCGCCTATACCATGCTGCTTAGACCCATGGGCAGTTAATTTGGAACACGTATTGATTCTTGATGTGCATGGCAATTTGATCCTGATGGCAATTAATAGTTGTTAAATGGTTGGGTTCTGTAGTAGCATATTAATCATGACCTCATTATAGGTTGATTCAGTGGTGGCTAAGATATTATTGTTAAGGTTGAGCTAGACTGGTAACCACTGACAAGTGGTTATTGAAATTGTAGTTTTTGGCTACGGTCTCTTACCATGTTATGCATGATTTGATGCAGCCAATTGTAGCAGTTCTTCATTTATGTGTGCTGATGCATTTAGTAAGTTCCTTCCTTTCTGCACGGGATTTGCAGCTGGGTGTATGATCTGGAGTGGTTGTTGCAGAAGTTCTCCCTGATGCATTCAAGGTGACATACTTTGCATGAGTGTTGGATCTTCTGATCTTTAAAAGTTTCCTTTTTAAACAACTTTGTCTTTATTTTCTCTTTTAATATTCTAATGGACGATAGTAGCATGGTGGCTTTTTGCAACTACGCTTCAAATGCAAGCTTAGGTTTGTCACATGTACTAATTTATTTATTATTATCCTGTCTTCAATCTGAATTATATTAAATATATTCAACATGATTAATATACTATGTGCTACATTTTAATTTAATTTGTGCAAAATTATGGTCGTGCTATGTAACATTTAGGAGACTGGAAGGCTCCCGATTATGTTGAAGACTCTCAAACTTGAATGTTCAAGATGCTCAATAGTTGTGATTAGTGATTTTTGTTAGCTTGTTAACTGGTTTGTATTATGGAGGCTGGAGTTGCTTCTTTATTGGGAACTTTAGAGGTGATTCAATAGGCAAATGCTTATTGTATAATCCCCCTGCTTCTTGAGGGAACTTTCCTCCTAAGGAATTTTCCCCTGCGATCCGTATTACACTTCTCATGTTATTTTCTTTTTTCTCCCTCTAACTTTTGTAGAGTCTTATTTTCTTTGTATAATAGTTTTTTGTGCTTTGGATTACAGGAAGCCCCTCCTTCCCAGGTTGCATCAGCAGCAACCCTTTCTGTAGCATTTATGGAAGCTCTCAGTACCTTCTTTCAAAATTTCAGCCACGACTACAAGTGAGTTTATGACAAGGAATAGATTGAATTTATAGCTGTCCACACCACCATTCCGGAGAAGTAACATTTCTGGTTTTTTTTTTCTTTCTCCCCCCTGAAAGTTTAATTTCTTTTGCAGCTCTGAGGATGCTTCTGGCTTCTTTGTTTCATTACTTTTTGGCCTTGGCCCCTTACTCGGAGGCATCATTCTGGTTGCATTTGCTCTTGCCTTTCATCTTCAGCATGCTCTTCTGATGGGCACCGCTTGTGGGATTGCTTTTGTTCTTGGTGCTTGGCGACCAGTACAGCTTCTTTTGTCTTCAAAGTTGGGATTTTTTCCTGTTTTATTCCTCCTTGCAGCAGGGGCTGCTTTCGTCCATGTTTCTAGCTCCAGCGTGTTGAAGGTTGCAGATCGCAAAAAGACCTCAGCTAGTGACTTGCCTGCACTTACTGGGTTCCCAATGAGCGTTCACACCCTTCAATCATTCATTTCATGTGGAACAGTTGCTTTTCATGCTCTGGCTGAAGGACTCGCATTGGGAGTGGCAGCACCAAAAGCATATGGACTTGGCCGTCACATGGTGCTTCCAGTCTCTCTACATGGACTTCCTCGAGGAGCAGCCGTGGCCAGCTGCATCTTTGGTGCTACTGATAGTTGGCATGCTTCCCTTGCAGCAGCCGCCATAATTGGATTTATGGGCCCAACATCAGCAATCGGGGCTATTCTTGCCGGTATAGATTATAGCGGTCTTGACCATGTTATGGTCTTTGCTTGTGGCGGATTAATCCCAGGTTTTGGAAATATGGTTAAGAGAGCACTGAGTTTGGAAAAAAGTAAAAGTACCTGCGGCCTTATTATGGGTATGGGTTTTGCTATTTTATGTCTGACATTCACTAGGTTGGTTTGCTTGCATACACCTTACTGCAATTCTGCACCAGAAGCTGTCAGATAGGATGATTGTGGTGCATCATCTATTGTTAATGTTCTTATACAACAGGCGTATAGAACTCTTCGAATTGATCACCCAAGTTCTCAGCCATTAAGTGTGAAGAGATTTGTAGTTGTGTCTAGTTTTATTGACCAACGGAGACTGCAGAGATTGGAATCTGCCATTTATACTGGAGCTGTCCTTTTTGGGGGCTCTAAAGAAGCTAACGGGTAATACTTTTTGGTGTTGAGGCAGGTTTGTTAGGGGTGCTCAAGTTTCCATACAGAACCTGACGTTTGTCGTATTTAGCTTTTACGATGTATATATAGTTTTGAGATTTTATTGATCTGAACCCTAATTTCCTACAATATGATGAACAAAGGAAAACTCGGGAAGTCAGCAGATTCTGATTCTTTTTCCCCTCGTTAGACTGGATGGTGTTATACCCGGATAACTAGGGTTTTGAGTGGATTAAATCAATATATTGTTTGTATACAGCTATACATTTGACAATATGATAGTAAATAGATTTAAGCGAGATTTATAAAATCTTATAAAATTCTATCATGATATATTAGATTTATTTTTGACGTAATTAAAATTCAGTTTGGTTGGGTTCCCTTATTTTAAATGCACAAGATAATTAAAAATTCATTTGAATTACATGCAATCCCGAAAAAATCAATAATAAGTATTTTTCAAAAGAATAATGCGGTACAAAATTGTGTATTGTAATACACACACGTTGTGTGCATGTGATTTATTATGTGTTAATATATTAACTAGATGTTAAACTCTAAAAAGTGTGTGCGTGCGCATGCTAATATATATTAATATATTAACTGGATGTGATTTTTTAATGATATTTTATTTTAATATTATTTAATTCATCCAGAAAAAAGTTCTGCTAGCTACAAAATAAACCCATTCATCCGCATCCAGGGCTCGAGGTGAACTACTCACTCTGGCTAGTTCATCTACAAATGATACCCAGAAATGAAAGCCTCTCATAGCCTGACATGTCTCAAGGTACTAATCTTTGATCCTTCTTCACTTTGATATCGATCGGTTGGTCTGCAAATCCTCTTCTCTGCCCTCCAAACTCTCCTTCTCTGCCGCAGTAGCTAATGGCTTCTGTTGTTTTGACACACTCTGTGAACCAGTCATCCTCGCCAGGATCACAAACGACATGCCTCCAAGAACATTGTTCATACATCTCAGTACAAACACAGATGATTTGAATGCCAATGGAGGAAGCCCTTTCTCCAACACAAACTCAATCCCATTAAGAGTTTGGTACCTCAGATTGCTGCTAACTCCCATGTGAGTCGCCCATGTGAGAGCATTCAACAGTGTTGGAGGCGGCTTGTTTGGAGTCTCAAAGTTTGGATCCATCTTCTTTCTGATCTTGATTAACCCATTTGAAATTGCAGTTCCCACAAGCCCAGCTGCAAACCCAACTGCTGCAAACAAAGCTCCTTTGTACACTAGTGTGCCACATCGATCAAGGATCCCATAGGCACCTGGTTCAAACATGTGGCTCTTAGGGCAGCTTGCAAAGATTGAAGGTAGGTTTGAGGATGAAGAAGCCATAGTGGGTGCTAATAGGTACATGAGGGTGAAATTCAGAATTGATCCAACGACAAGTGTAGAGAAAACAAAATCAAGCTCGTTCAATCCGAAATTTGGACGAGAAGCCATGTCTCCGATGACACAAGCGGTCACACCCACCAATTCCTCCATCAGAACCTTGAACGGAAATTGCGGATCGGCGGCAACCCTCGATCTCCATCCGGCCAGAAACATACCCAGAATACCGAGTCCCTGAGACGACGATGAAGATGCATCATCGGAATCCCCGTCGTTGCCCCAATCTCCTCTGCCGCCGTCGCCTCCTCCGCGCCCAACTCCGTCGCTACCATCACCACCGGCGAATGAAATTTGCAGATTCTCCGGCAAACTGGGCTCGTAGACCTTTGGGTTGATGAGAGACAGAGATCGATTTTGAGAGTGGAAAGAAGATCCAAACGAAATAACGGCACGGGGATTGAATGCTCGAGCGTCTGAAATGGTGTGGTAGGAGCCAGAGAGAGGAGAAAAACGAAGCTGAGCCATGGCTGCCATGGTGGTTCGGTTCAACTCCACGATCTGCAACACAGAGATAACAAATCAATACACTTGAATAGCTAAAAAAGAAGACAGATTTTGAAAATTTAGCATAAGAACATCGTTCCCAGATCATGAACAAGAAAAAGAACAAAAAACAAAAACTAGACAATGATAGCAAAGATTCATAATTAAACAGAGAAAAGTAAGAAGATTGGGAAAAGGGAAAGCACCTGAAGGTGAGAGAATGACAGTGTGGAATAGCAAAGGTGAAGACGAAGAGTGTGATGGATTGAGGCGAATGTGAGTGAGAAACGCTGAATCGGAAACTAAAACCTCAAACCCTTTTAAACTCGCAGGTTTTGATCGCTGGAACCCTACGCTGAAAGCGAAAAGCACCTTTCCAACTACAAAACAGAATACTGATACTTTTCATATTACATTATTTGATCATGTGATTTTTTTTTTTTGTGGGAAAAATTGGGAATAATAAATTTCTATTTTAAAATTAATTAATAAGTAGTTTTAAGATAATGAATTGCAGAACAGAAGATAATTGCACACAATAAAAATTAAAATTATAAAAAAAAAAACAGATGATTTGTACAAAACATTATTTAGGTATAATTGACTAATTTAGATTATACATAAAGGTTAAGTTGCATAAAGCTTAAGAATTATCTGTCAATTAATTTTTAACGAGTGATTTATTTCTTAATTTTTTCTGTTTTAATTTTTTTTCCTCCAAGGTCTCTTATATTATTTCATAAAATAATAATTTTAAGAATTTTAGAGGAATTAAGTTTATTTCGACAGATTAAATTTTATTTTTATTTTTAAAACGAATATTTTATTTGAATAAAATATATTCCCTCTGTTTCATATCTTTTGTTGGTTCCTTCAAGGATGTCCAATAAAATATCTTTTCTTGTTTAATGGTGCGGCATATGAATTAAGGAATTTTGACTTGTTACTGCTTCCATTATAAATATAAGATATTCAAGATCTCATATAATATTATTTTCGTCTTAAAAATAAAACTCATTATTTAATTTTTTTAATTTTTACTCTTAAATATTTTCATTTTGAAGATTGAGTTCGTAAATTATTTTAAAATGGAGGACTGAAGGTTTTACCTCTTTTAATCACTATTTTAGTAAGAGTAAAATGAAAAATTTTGGGTTGGCAAAAAAGATGAAATTTTGGGCAACTTCTTTTTTATAATAAGTTTAACAATGTAATGGACTTTCTTGAATTGATACTCGGCTGTTCCTTAAAAAAAAAGACATAATTAACAAATTTATAAAAATTAATAAAATTAGTTATTTGTCATTATAATAAAAAAAAGGGGAAATGGCAAATAAAGACCCCTCAATATATAAAATGGTAATCAGGGACCCTGAATTTGAGAAATTGCTCACAAGGACCCGGTCCCAATTTGTAATTATGAAATCATGGCCAAATTACCAAAATATCCCTCTTTAATTTTTTTTTTAAAAAGAACACCACTGCCTCGCCGGAATCCGGTCGCCGGAGCTCCGCCACCCCGGCTACTAGCCGCCGGAGCTTCGATGCCGGCGGCCGGATTCCGACCATTACGGCGGCCTTCCTTTGTTTTTTTTTTTTGAAACTGTTTTTTTTTTTAAATTGGGGGGAAGTGAGGTTGGGGGATTTGATCCCCCAACGTAATGTTTCCCAAAATTAAAAATGACCATTGAGCCAACAAATTTTTGCTAACATTATGATACAAAAAAAAAATTAAGTTAACTCATTTACTCTTGTTCCAGGTGATAACAACAATACATTTAGAAATAACAAGTTCTGATTGTAAAATAACACGTCTGGAATGAAAATTTAACAATATGTTTTTTTATAACAACAAATTTTGTTGCAGGTGATAACAACAATACATTTGAAAATAACAAGTTCTGATTATAAAATAACAAGTCTGGGATTAAAATTTAACAAACACGTTTTTTTTTATACAACTCATTATAAATCAAACTACTTCTTATAAATTATAAATAGTACAATTTATTGTAGATTAAAAATACTTTTTGATTACTTAAATTTATGAATGAAATTTATCTCTAATTTATAATTAAAAAATACTATTTTATTCTTTAAATATAAAAACTATTTTTAATATTTAAAGAATGAAATAATAAATTATACTATATTATTTAAATACTTAATAATAAATTTAATATTTAAAGAATGAAATAATATAAAAATTTATACTATGATTTATAGATTAAAAATACTTAATTATAAATGCTTTATAATTATAAGGAGTAGTTTGATTTATAATGAGTTGTATAGATATATAGATTAAAAAGTATTTTTTAGAAAAAATAAATATATTAAAAATATTTTATAAGTTATAAATAATTTATTTTCCAAAATCATAATATAAATAATTTTCTAAAAAAAAGTTGTTGTTAATTTTAATTCCAGACTTGTTATTTTATAATCAAAACTTGTTATTTCCAAATGTATTGTTGTTATCACCTGAAACAGAGTGTGTTGTCATTAAAAAAACGTGTTGTTAAATTTTAATCCAGACTTGTTATTTTATAATTAGAACTTGTATTTTCAAATGTATTGTTGTTATCACCTGCAACAAAATTTGTTGTTATAAAAAAACATATTGTTAATAATTTTCATTCCAGACGTGTTATTTTTACAATCAGAACTTGTATTTTCTAAATGTATTGTTGTTATCACCTGGAACAAGAGTAAATGAGTTAACTTATATTTTTTTGTATCATAATTTAGCAAAAATTTGTTGGCTCGATGGTCATTCTTAATTTTGGGAAGCATTAGGTTGGGGGATCAAATCCCCCCAACCTCACTTCCCCCAATTTAAGGAAAAAACAGTTTCAAAAAAAAAACAAAGGAACAATACAAAAAAATATGTTAATTCTAGCGGTTAGAGTGTTACATTTGTAGCGGTTTTAACAGCTACAAATGAAATTTGTAGCGGTTAAGGAAAACCGCTAGAAAAACAGGTGCAAGAAAAAATTTCTAGCGGTTATTGCAACCGCTACACATCATGGTCAAAACGATAGAAAATTTCTAGCGGTTTATAACCGCTAGAAAATATCTGAAGGAGAAACATTCCTAGCGGTTATAAAACCGCTAGAAAATGTTCCGGAAAAAAATTTCTAGCGGTTTTATAACCGCTAGAAACCTGCTAAACGAAATCCATTTTGCCGGGAATTAAATAATTTCAGTAGCGCGAAATTACTAGCGGTTATAGAACCGCTAGAAATGTTTGGGAAATTAACTTTTCCCGCCAATTGAATTTTAGGAATGGCGGCAAAAAATTTTCTAGCGGTTTGAACCGCTAGAAATTTTGGCGCAAAATTTAAATTTGACGAAATATTTCTAGCGGTTCGGAACCGCTAGAAATGTTTACCGTGCCAGAAAAAAAAATTTATGGTTTTTCATATTATAATTTTAAAAACCATTAAATAAATTATGTTGAAGAATTTTTGTTAATTTGTATAATTAACAAAAATATTAATTTTGTAATAAAAAATATGTAATTAAATTATGAATGTGTCAAAAGAAGTGAATTTAATTTAATCAGATAATTTAATTGAATATTTAATAAGATAGTTGAATTGAAGATGATATATTTTGTAATATTGAACCTATAGTATTAGGTTGATGAGTATTTGAATCAGTTGAGGAGGGCATGACAAGTGTGGAGAAGAAAAATCTGAAAGGAAAGGAGAAATAAATATGTTAGTAAATTTTAAATAAAAACAAATAAAAGATACAATGAATTATAAAATAAAATTCACTTACCATACAGTAAAGAGAAAAAAACCACCATATGAGATAGTAAGAAAAAAAGAGAGAATTATGAAGAAGAATAGGAGAGGAAAGAAAAGAGATGGAGTAAATGAATGTAGAGAAGATATGGTATTTATAGAGATCAGCGACACATTTGTAGCGGGTTTTTGTAGCGTTTTATTGCATTTTGTAGCTGTTATTCATTTTCTAGCGTATATATAAGCGCTAGTATTTTGTAGCGGTTATATTTGTAGCGGTTATTAACCGCTAGAAATTTAGTATTTTTTATTTTTTAAAATCTGAACGAATTTTAATTTACAGATATGTATTTGTAGCGGTTAATAACCGCTACAAATTACAATTTCGTAAAATACATTTGTAGCGGTTAATAACCGCTACAAATTACAATTTCGTAAAAAAATTTGTAGCGGTTATGTAACCGCTACAAATTAAAATTTTTTTATTTTTAAAAAAACTGTACGAATTTTAATTTATACATATGTATTTATGGACGGAAAATTTTTAAATAATTTATTTTGGATGCTGCTATTCTCCATCATCATCCGGCCTGAAAGGACACATTTTAAAAAAATTTGTTAAATTTATAATGTTTTTGGAAAAAATTAGTAATTAGTAGTTAATTATTTAAATAATTTAAGAAAAGACGTGTACCTGATAAGTGGCAAATTATCATCTCCTTGAGGAAAGAAGTCTTCAAAATTCGAGGGTTGGAAGGGTTCACTGTCGTAAATAATGTCACCATCACCCATATCGTAAAGATCCCGTGGCTTAAGGTGAACGACCATATTCCAGTCTTTATGTTTCTCGTCCTCGACATAGTAAATTTGGTGTGCCTCAGAAGCAAGGATATATGGCTCATCATCTTCAGATGCCCCCGTATGAATAAGTCTAGAGAAATTGACTGAGGTGATGCCCAAATGGTCAGTAGCGAGTCCCCGTGAAGTTGTCGTATTTGCCCAGGAGCACTTGAACAGTGTCACGGTGAAAAGCTGGTAACTCAACTCAATAATGTCAATTAGCTTTCCATAGTAAGTGACGCCTCCAAAGCGCATATCGCCATCACTACTGCTAGCATAACATCTCGTTCCGAATGTCCCGCAAACTCCAGAGTTTTGTGTGAGCAATCCCTGATCACGTCCAACCGTACAGAACTTGAAGCCGTTGACATTGTACGCGGTAAACCTTCGTGCATGGTCTAACGGACCGAGAGAAAGAGCTTTGAATTCATCTGTGTATGGGCTGTTGTCATTACGTATTCGACGTGTAAACCAACTGGGAAACTCTTTGTGGACTCTTTTATCAATGTCAGCAGAACGCGCACGGCCCCGTAGCTGACGCCTGAGATAACTCCTAAACTCACTATAGTAAAGTGTAATTTGTTAGAAGAGTCAGTAAGAAACAAATATAAAGTGTAAAAGCTAGTGAGCTTATATGATATATATACTTACTGCATGAAGGGTTCAACTTGGCTGCAATTTATCAAAACGTGTCT